TGAGGATGTTATGGGAGACAGTGTCAAAAGCAAGCCTTGCTGAAGTCAAGGTAGACAGTGCACAGTGCAAGGATATTTCTAAGTGCTGAGTATTACAGTGTATCTGCATGATGACTCTGTAGGATATTCTCTCTCTCCCTGTCTCTATTTTTTTCCTCTCCTTCCTTCCTCAGGAGTAGTCTGCAATGTAGCAACAGGATGCTGAACAGGATGATGGTCATGACCATCAAGACACAAGGCCTTTAGTTCTTCCTGGAAGAAGTGAAATGGGCTCCTGTTCAGTGCACAGATAACTTATCCTTTCATCATCTCACTTTTCTGAAGTGCTGAGCCATCATGTCCCATGTACCAATGATAAATCATGTAGGTCTGGACATAATAATTCTGAGACCAATGAAGGCATATTTCTCTAATGCTGATTCCAGTCACTAAGTCCTCTAAGCTATCTTTTTTTTTTCTTTTTTTCCACTCTCTTTTTTGGGCTAGTAATAACAATCGAGTTATTAGAAGTTATCATACGCAAAAAAAAAAAAAAAAAATCACATGCTTTCCTTTATGCAAATATGTCTTAGTACGATGACTGCTGATGCAGAAATTCCAATGTGTTGAGATGTTCCCTGCTGACCTACTAACCCATGTTCTAATCAGCCAAGCTGCAGTTTTATTTGAGGCTAGGCTCTTCTCCAGCTATTTCATTCTCAGTGTATAAATTTTAGTTAGCTTCAGAAGTATCGCTTGGGAGGGCAGTTGGTGCTTTGCCATGAAAATACAAGTCTTGTGCTCTAGAAAGTTCATGTGCTTAAGCAATACGTAGGGGATGGGACTAAATTCAGTAATAACACGCAGGGTAATACATTCTGTTCTCCATSAGGTCTGAAATAAAACCAAACTTTTCCTTCTATTTCAGTATTAATTTTAGGACAGCTTTTAGAAAACTGGTAGGGCATACTATAGGCATGCCCACAAAGCAATCAGCATCTGCAAAACGCAAGCAGTAATTTGAACATGAGTTTTTCTACTTCCATGATCCTTCACTACACTCCAGAGCAATGAAGAAAATCATATTTATTTAAAACAAGCTAAATTACATTTTCATTTTTATGGTAAGCCTAGCAGATTTTAAATAAGATTTTATAATTGTTTTTTTCTCATTAGGAAATGGAAATGAAGAAGAAAAAATAGGTTTAAATTACAAACTACTTTTAACAGACGTTRAAGCATATACATTAAATGAGTAGCTTTGTATAGCCTGAGAAAGCATAGTGCTGAATATCTGCTCTGTAATAACGTTTTTGTTTTTACTGCAGTGAGTCAGTGTTTTTACTGGATAATGAAATTGCCATTCCAGGAGGATAATTTTATGGATGATTTGTTGATTCTGTACTCTTAAATTTTCAGGGTCTAAAACTTCCTGCAAAGAATTGACTGTTAAGTATTATTTAAACCAGCATTCAAACCTAAATTAATTTTCTGTGCACTCAGTAAGAGCAAATATATTTTATCTTTCTTAGTTTTGACCTTGAACAGCCAGTGACCCAGAGTGACATGGCTAAGCCAAGACTGCAGTTGTTATAAAAGGAACTTATTTAAATTGGCAAACAGCTTGCTTTCCTTCTTCTGCACAACTGTTTCGTCTCGCTCACAAGTAAATTCAAATCTAGTGTTGTACCACCAGTTCCCTGTTTCTTCTGGGAAAAGAAGACAACTGCCTCAAATTGCCCAAATCGTCTTCTTGTTTTTACAAAGCTTTAATTTGTTTTTGAAAGTTCGCTTGCTCTAGATAGGTGAATTTTTAAAATGTAAACATTTTCCTTGAAGCGAACAAAACAAGAAGAAAACAGAATAAAATGAGAGTTAAGTAATGGGAATTCAGGAGTGAATAACCAAATGTGAGATTAAATAAATAAATAAATAAATAAATAAATAAATAAATAAATAAAAAGATAAGCCTTTGTCATCCACAGCAGACATGTTACCTGGCATTTTCAAGGCTAGAACAATATAGCTGAATGATTTAGCAAGACCCAGAGAACAGAAGATGTTCATGTTTACTCAGGAGGACTTCTGTGTGTTCTCCATGTATTTAGTACTTATTCAGCTCCACAGGACTGATTTCTAAGCTTTAAAAATTTTTTATGTTTTCACCAGTCCCAATGAAACTAGTGAAGACAATAAGGAAGCTAGATATTGCTCAGATATTGTAAAATACTGAGTTAAAATTGTCCCAAAGAGATGTCTTGTCTGATTTCTGTGTTCTTGTGCTCCACTGGGTGGAGTATCATTGTTTTTTTTTTTTTCCGGGAGAATAAATAATGTACAAAGATAAAGAAAGGAACCTTTTTCTTTCTGCCTTTACTTCCTTTTTTTCTTTCTCTTTCCATATGTTATTTATATCCACATTCATCTTATTTTTAGTATTCTACAGCTGAAAATAATCTGCTCCTCAGATAAAAATGTGTTTTACCCTGTGCCACATGCTCTAGGTATCCCTGCTTTAGCAGGGGAGTTGGAGTAGATGATCTCTAGAGATCTCTTCCAAACTCAACCATTCTGTGATTCTGTGATTTCTCTAGTGGGGAGAAGAGTGGTATTTTCTGTTCCTCAAACTACAGTTCTGCCATGCCTGTCTCAGAGGATTAAGCCAGATGAGCAGAGTTTGACCACTCAGTCTTTTAACTTTACTAAAATTTTACATTATGATTTCTTGTATTAAAATGACATTGTATGTATTTATCCACAAATTGCTAATCAGACTTTTTTAATGAAATTACTACATGTGTGTTAAAAAAAAAAAAAAAAACTACTAAATTTTCATTCAGTGCAATGCAAAGAAAAGTTTGGACCAGAAATGGCATTTCTTCCAAATCAGATTGATGTTGTTTTTTCCTCAGTAAAATCTAGCGATTTATGGAAATCAGCCCTCTGCTCAGATTTGTCCTTAAAACAACATAGTTGTTAGTAATAGTAATTGAAAACAATATAGTTGGTGACTGATTTTTAAACCTATTTCATAAATTAAATTATGATTATGTTAGCAACAATTATTTTAAACCCTAATCTCCAGACACTTAATTTAAGGTGTCTTTGAGATGTTAATTCTAGCAACACAGCCTGTTCTAGCCACACAGCCTGTTCTAGCAAAACAGCCTGTTTATATTTACCATTGCATGGAGGCTTGAATTATCCTACATATTAGTGCTACCTCTTATATTATCCTGTTTTTATGCTGTAGCCAGTGTGCAGAAAGAGACATGTGATAGGTATGAGCTTAACAAAAACATTCTGGAGGGGAGTTAAAATTTCCCCGTACCTTGTAGTTCCCTGGACGCACTTTCAGCCCTTCTGAAACCAGGAAATGGTGTAGTGACATTTTCTGAGGCTGACTGATTCTTTGAGATTTCCCAGCCAAAGTTACTTGGGTAAATCAAGACTGATAAGCTCTCCACACTCCTAGAGGTTTAACATAAATGCCTTTTGAGATAGTTTTCAGAGAGTGGGGAAATGCAGGTTAGGTGATTTGGAAACACTAGTACACTAGAGAGACTCAAAAGAGAGGGCTGATAAATGCTGGCTTTTAAAATTAAAAATAATTGTTATCTAAAATCACTCCGAAATAACATGTCACTTTTCTGAAGCCCTGTTTCCACTCATAATTTATATAGCATAGAAAGAGTTTAAATTTCTATTTTTTGCAGTTTTCAATGCAATATGAGGCTGTCAGTGCACATATGCTGCCATCTTCTGGTGCAGCCTGTGGCCTGCAGAGATCATTTCTTAACATCCCTGAGCTGAGCACGTGGTGATCATACTCCCTTAAAATAAATTCTCACTTATGTCTTCTTTTCAACAGGAGTGTGATCAAGTTCATATAGATGATGTTTCTTCTGATGATAATGGACAAGATCTAAGGTAAGATCTAATGTTTCTTTCAAAATGATTTTCTTCAAAGATTAAATAAATTGAGCACTTACAGGCATACATTGTATTTATTTTTACTGTATTTTGGGTGTTTGCAGTACCTACAGTTTTGCAACTGATGGCTTCCATGCAGCTGCAAGTAGTGCAAACCTTTGTCTGCCAACAGGTGTAAGAGGAGGGGTTGACTGGATGAGGAAGCTGGCTTTCCGTTACAGAAGAGTAAAAGAGTTGTATAATACTTACAAGAACAACATAGGAGGTGAGTTTAAGGAACACATTTTTTGTCAAAAACAGTTCAGATGACTGATCAGGTTAAACCATGTGGTAATGAATTCATGCCAAATGAAATTGCCTTGGAAGCCGTTTCGTGAGTAGTAAATAAAGTGACTGGATCTTCGRCTATTGACAGTAATGGGAATGACAGATCCTACATGATGCTCTTGTGTGGGAGAACCAGGAATGGGGAATCAGAGCAGAGCTCCATTCAACATGCAGAAAGCCCATTTTTCCTTCTTCAGATASAGCTTGGATATATCTACCTCCTGTTGACTTACGGGCTGAGTCACTTACCTTGCCTAAAGTAAAATAACCATAAAACACCTCTGGAGCTAATAAAGTCAATTGCGTTAGCAAGAAAATCTCGACTTAATTTGAGAAGAAAACTTTTTATTAATGTTTTTGCTTATAGACATATCAGTGCCAGCATGTTTTTAGGAAGTGATAGGAACAAAGCTGTGTAGGGGGAAAGTGATAGGAGGTAAGTTGTGTATGAACTGTAGAGTCAGGCAGTCCTCCTATGAAAAGGGGAAAATGAAATATGACARCTACTGCTCAAAGATTTAGAGAACAGAGAATGCCTACAGGTCTTTAAAACTTTCTACATTCAGCCTCATTTGAGGTCGAGAAGAGACTGGCCCAAACAGGGGGTGGGCTTTCCCATTCTGTAGTTAGTGTAGTAGTGTAGGACTCTCAGTCCCATTCAAGTCAGTTTAAATTTATTTCAGAAAAACTTGAAACTCCAAGTAAAGCTCACCCAGAGCAAAAACAAATATACGTGCTCTTAGCAGTTCCTGCAGTTTCTCACAAATGGAAAAATATTTTTCTGGTAATATGGAAAATGAATTTGCCATTTTATGAAATAGTTACACTTGGCTTATATATTTTYGCTTCTCCTGGTTCGAAGTCTTTTCACAGGATGAAGCGGTATCAGCGAAGGGTGATGGCAGATGGTTAGATTTTACTTACTCAGAAGTGTGGCAACTTAAGTCCCTGAGAAGTGAACAATAGTTCCCAAAGAAACTGACCTGCCTTAGGCTTCTTTGCTGTCATGAATTTAGTCTTTACATATAAAGAGTGCATAAAATAAGCTTACCAACAAGTTTACTTGGTTTATGTTTGACATCTCTYAATGCATCTAGGATTAAACAGTTAGTTACATTTCATAAAAGTTTTAACGTTAATGATAGTGTTATGTCAGAGCACAGCACAGAGCAACACATTGACAGGAAGCATCATTGCAAAGACCCAGCACAGTTATGGGCTGGTACATTATGTTCAGATTTTTATTGTCCCCCCCAAATCACGCTTCTGAAATACATTCCACTTGGGAAAGTGGCATTAATGGGCAAGTTGCTACACGCATTAGTCTCTATAATAATCTGTTTTTTAATTGATTTTATGCATGTAACTTTTCAAAATTACAGTTAGAAGCCAACGGAGAACTAGGACAAACCAGGAGTTTTTAGGTTGCTTTGTTCCAGATTTTTTAAAAACAGTCATCACTACTTCATGGAAATATGGGATGTGAAAGAGGAGAGGRACACTAAAGGCCATTGTGCTTGCTTGCCTGCTCCTCCAGGATCATGTGTAAATTTAAGTTTGGTTCTGAAGAAGTCACAGCTAAGTAAGTTTTGAGAACATATTATGTACAGACATTTCAGGGCTATAGTATTTTAATTCGTACAAGAGGACTTATCATTAGTGACCAGAACAGAAAGTGAAGAKCAAGCAAATAAATGCTGTATTTTCACATGCTCCACCTGAGTTTTACATATAACATGAGCCATAAGCAGGGAARTTATAAGGATGCACAGATGCTAGGAAAAAAGAAATTATTCTAAAGTTACTTGTTCTCTATGAGTTCTCTATAAGCACAATCTCTATTAGTTTTTACTCATGACCTTCATTGTATGATCCCCTCWTCATTGCCTCTGATGACTAGAGGATAAGGTGTATATAAGAATTTSATTTCAAAAATATGAGAGGTACATTTAAAAATATGTTGAAAGAGCCCAAATTTACAAAAAAAAAATCAGATGACTACTGATGAGATAAATATCTGTATTACCCTCTGACATTTCTCGGTACAGTGATGTTACCAGACTGCAAAAGAAGCAGGCAGGAATTTACTGGGTATTGAGGAAAATAGATTTTTTTCTCTTTGCTGTTTTTTAAAATTCTAGTGGAATTAAAAATAGAAACAATTACTACAAAATCTGTAAATTCCAGCTAGCACAGAATTTAATTGTCTTTATTTTCTGGATTTTTTACACAAAAGGTCTCCTTGGTCCTGCTAAAAGAGATGCATGGTTGCAATTAAGAGCAGAAATTGAAGCTCTAACAGATTCCTGGTTAACAAATGCACTTAAATCATTATCAATTATCAGCACAAGGTATGTATTTGAGCCTACTGTAAAACTCTTTTTAAAAAAATGTTTAACATGTAATTGCTTGTTAATATTTTAGATTACAATATTATAGTAGCTCTCTAGAATAAAACAAGTTTAACATGATTTTTAAATGGGACGAAGGAAAAATTTCATGGAAATTGATTTAATTTTCAGTGATCCCAACATTTACTAGAGACTTGTATAAAAGGACTTTTAAAATATAGTAAATGGCCCTGTGTGTTTTATTTTTTTAGAAATTTGATCCAACCTTTAAATTATTATTCTATGAGCAACATTCTCTGAACTCCAAATATGTTTTATTTTTCTGTTTGTGCCTATTCACAGTGGTACCTAAGTACCACTAGGTACAGCACAGATCTTAGAGGACAAAATTATTTTCTTTCTGTGTTTCCTCCAAATACATCAATATTAAGCATACATGTAAGTTTTTAGAAAAGAAAGTATGTACTTATAACATAATTAACACTTGCTTCCTTGTCATGTCTGAAGGAGGAGTCAGTGTTGAGTGAAAGAACAAATTTAGAAACACTGAAAAATTATTTTAAGCTTATAAATATTTTTAGTATGTTTCTCAATTTCTGTTTAAATTTATGAGAGGAATCATAAGTACTTCAAGAGCACAAAAATAAAAATCTGTTTAATTTGCTATGCTTAGCTCGTAATTTCTTAGCTCATGCACTGTGTAACGAAGACCATGTGAACATAGGTGGATGAGGCTGAAGAATTCTAAATTTCTTAAAACTGTTAAATAATACTCATTTATTTACAGATTTACAGTTACATTACATACAGATACAAATTTTCAGAAGATACCTACGAAGTAGCTCAATATTCCTTACATGTTGCTGATAGGAAATTGAAAKGCATAAAGACAGAAAGGGTAGCCTAAGGATTTTCTTGGAAATTGTGGGAGGATCAAAAATCACAAGTAGTTGCTCCCAACCTCATCTTTACGCTTTGGTCATGCTCATGTTCCAGCCTATCATTGCTTATGAAATAGCTTGACTTTGAGTTTTCGTTAAGTGTTATCTCAGCTTCTACCTCTTACCATAAATACTCTTATTCTTGATACATGAAGACAATGAATTCTACTTATTAAATTCCCATTATATGAAATATATATAAGAAATGTGTATTTGCCCATTTCTTTCTCCTAAAGAATAATAAATGATCCTTTCACTTTCTTCTAACAGTTTTAATCATTTTAACAGTTTTAATTGGCAGGTAGTTAGTGACAAGGAATTGCCATCTTGAAAAACATGATTTCAGCACATTGGTATGCCTATTTTTCAGAAGCATTAATAATTATAGATGTCTGTATTTTAGTGGCTTCATCTTCAGGGTTCTGGTTTCCATAAAGCAGTGTGGAATACTTCCTATTAATCAGACCTGCATCTTTATGCAGAGGATATGAAAAGATTGGATTTTTCACAAAGTTCATGTACATTTTTATGAGTAGCACAGCAATGTGCATGAAAGTAAATAYCAGGGAATGTTGAATATGCTCTCATCAGCTATGTTATCACATCAGCGTTTGGGAAATGGATTTAAATTGTTTCTCTCCTTTTAGGAGTAACTGTGTAAATGTCTTGGTAACAACAACCCAGCTTATTCCAGCCCTTGCAAAAGTCCTGCTATACAGCTTAGGAGGAGCTTTTCCTATTGAAAATATTTACAGTGCAACCAAAATAGGTAAGAAAATAATACTATCATCCAATTGAACTACACAGCATTATCAGTATTTTTTTTATCCAGTYATGGATGGATTCAAAACCACTTCCCTGAAATTTATGTTGTTAGTTATAAGAGTTATGTATTGCATGTATTTAGATTTGTTTTTATCTATAATAGGAATCCAAATGCAACTTATTTTCTATGATGCTGAAAGGAGTAACGGCTCCAAAACTATACTTCTCTTAAAAATCGCTCATAGTGCAAAGAAAGTAGAAAAGAATAAAGAAAAGAATTTTGCTAAATATATCTGAACTTTTTTTTTTTTTTTAAATAGACTCTGCTCTGACCTCCGTCTTTATGTAGGCTAGGCCACAGCTTCACAAGCATTTCCTGGGAGCATAAGACATCTGTGATGGTAATGACAGCCATTACCAGCAGAAGCCATGTTGATGGATGCTCCAAGGGCAGTTCCCTGTTTCATTGATAGCAGCCTTCCTTTTTGAAGAGGCTGCTGAATCACAGTTTTGGGATTTATGGTTTTGAAATCACATCCAAAATGTTTGTGTAGACTAAAAGATGTGACCATTCTCGTGAAAGGTAATACAGCCTGTAGCTGCTTGACAGATTTCCAAAATTCTTGGCAGATTTTGTGATGCATCATTTATTAATGCTTAGTGTCTGTATCCACATTGTTTTCCATATCACTGTGTTAGAGTGCATTGACAGAGTATTCAAATATATTCCTAAGAAAATTTTCACAAGTAAAAAAATAATGCATATCCTAACAGTGTCAGGAAAATCAATTACTTGAATCGTCCTTTAATGAGCTGTAGCTCTCTTATAGACAGAAGTGCTTCAAAAACTTAAAAAACTTGAGTTAAGGTAGAAGTATCACAAACATCACATTGTCTTAACCAGCCTGTGGAATGAACATCATCTGTTTTACAGCCTGTTTGCTTTGGATTCTGTTATTGAGTTATACTCAGACCATGGGGAGGAGCACCAAGAAATGGTGCCAACATCACAGAAGGGGGTGGGAAGTAAAGCACCATCTCCGGAAGTCATTGAAGGAATTCTGCATTAGGAATTCCTTCTGGGAACAATGTGGTCACTGTTACAACTCTGTCAGGAACACAGTGAACTCTGCTGGGTACAAGATCTCAGTCGACTTCTCATCTTGGTGATCCTTGCACTGCGCGGGGCGCAGGGCTGTAACTGTGGCTATCCTCATTCAACAGTTAATACACACAATGCTTTTCTAGTCATACGCCTTTTTTATGGACCATCTGAAGAAAAACAAGAGTGCACTAGGAATCACAGATCTAGGAATCATGAGCTTGTGAGAAGAGACTGAAAGACCTGGGGGGAGACATAGTAGCGGTCTTAAAGTATCGGAAAAGCCATTGCAGAGAGGAAAGAAATAATCTTGCTCTCTGTTGATGGAAGGTAAGACAATAACTGATGGTTTCCGTGCCGTAGGACAGGTTGGATATCAAGGAGAGACTTCCTAATGTTAAGGGCTAATTAAACATGAGAATCATCTCTGGAAGCTGTGAAATCAACATCAGAATATTTTTAGAATAACTTGTAAAGAAATTTGTTAGGTAAAAATGAACTGCACTAGTGGGGAAGGATCAGTTAGATGACTTCTTATGGCCCTTCTCAATCCTATTTATTAATTGTTGTTACTGTTGTAGCCTTGTTACTTTCATATTCCTATAGAAGAGGCAAATATTTCATGGAAGTTCCTCCTGGAAACTTCCATCTAATCTTACTTTGTTTGCACATTGCTCTTTGACCAGTTTTTCCATTGCTACGTTGTTCATTGCTGCAGATACATTGAAGTAAAGCTCTGCTTTTGTTGAAAAAATACTATTACAGTAATAGGGAATCTTTGATTCAGTGATTCGTTCACTGACCCATTCATTTTTACAGTGTTGGCAATCTCTTTATTTTAGTAGCTTTTCTGTAAATCTTAACATAGTGTTTCAGAGGAAGCAGCTTATTGTCACCAAGGGAATTAGTTGYTTCTCACCAGTTTTTGCTCTAAATCTTGAGCTATAAAAAGTAGCAGTAACAATGTCTTACCATTGCAATAATCCTTTGTAGAGTTTCACTATAATTTACTTGATAGCTTAACAAGCAGTGCATTGTTTTGCAGGCAAAGAGAGCTGTTTTGAGCGTATAGTGTCCAGATTTGGCACTAACATAACTTATGTTGTGATTGGAGATGGCCGAGATGAGGAGCATGCAGCTAATCAGGTAACTTCACTCTGAACCCTTATCTCATTTATCTTCCAGGAAAAGAAAGTTGCTTTGAACGAATAATGCAAAGGTTTGGCAGAAAAGTAGTATATGTTGTAATTGGGGATGGTGTAGAAGAAGAACAGGCAGCAAAAAAGGTAACCTGTCTCCTGAACTGTTGGTGTGATACATAGCTACTAATGCAAGCCTTTCTGTTTGCATTTCTGTTAGTGTTGCGCAATGGCARAATGACAAATAATTTCAGTCTACAGATGCAAGGCAACAAGAGCATGATGAGACCAGCACTTATAGTAAAACGAACCATTTGGATTCAAGCATTTGCTTTAGTTCAGTTTGGAAAGAAAAAAAAATGCAAAATTATTTATAAATGAAACCCGATGGGGGCAAAATATCTGATTAACTCCATGCAAAGGAAACCTAAAAGACTGACACACCAAGAGCTAGGAAATAATCAATGTGTAGTGAAGAGAGGAGAAACCTCTTCTAAAATGAGGAGGTTTCAGGAAAAGTGACAGAGAACGTGGAAAAATATCGAAAAGATTTTTGTAAACAGAAACAGATCTGCTATTTGCTGAAGGGTGTATGATCAGCATATAGTTTACTTCAAGAAATACGTATCTGCCAAGCCATAAAGGACACAATGTACATATTTTGCAAAATTGTTTTTTGTCAAAAAGGTCAGGTTCTTTAGAACTACTCAATTTTCTCAAGTTAGAAATTTAAGTGGAAACCTGTCAGTGTTCAGAAACAGAGAAAATCAGTATTAATTTGGCAGTTGACCTTCCCAGTATAGCCTCTGGAAGTGTGCAGAAACTGKTTTTTTTCCTCAGACCTTCTACACAGCACAAGTGACATAAATGTGCTAGGAATAAYGAAACTAAATACTCTATTTGTATTAAGCAATATTTACAGTGTAGTTGTAATGGAAACAAAAGGCACATAACGAAAATGCTCATTCCAAATGGTTCTTTAACATAGGTACATTACTGGTGATGGGTCTTTTATAGTTTGTGCTAAACAAAGGTGGTTGGATTGTGTACTTTCCAGTTTGGCATGCCGTTTTTTTTTTAATGGTAGCTATGTTGCATGAACAGATACAGATTCATAGGGATGGATGAACCCAGTACATTGCAAATAGATCTGAATGGAATGAGGAAGTATATTGTTTTTATTCCATTTTGGACAATTGCTGATGCAGAATAGTGCATATATCTGCTTGTCTAACAGACACTGATACTCTCTGAAACACAAATTATCTTCTTTTTTTTCTTTAATAGTAATTTCTTTTTTTCTGCCTAAGAGATTTTTTTCACATGGTGGAAAAAAAAATATGTTATTCAACTCTACTTGAAATTAAGCRAGGCCTCTTTTAATGAAAGTTTTATAACCCTTTAAGTGGTCATTCCATCTTTCACAAAGTATAGTAACTGGAGCAGAAACATTTCCTATTGATGTTTCACTGTATGGGATTCCATGCTAAAAAAAAAAAAATGCAACCAGCTCTCTTTAAGTAATGAGTTCTTTCAAAATAAATAGTAGGAAAGATAATCTGTTTGTTTACTTTCAGTCAAAGAAACAACCTCAGATCTATTTTGGTCTGATTTTTGTGAGTATCTTACTAGCAAAAATCATTCCAGAGACCCAGTGGTTTAAAATACATAGTTCCAAGTTGACCAGACATGTGTCATATACCACCCTATGTTACTGTCTTCATTTTTCCTCACCTTTTTTCCCTTTCTAACAAACACAGCACAACATGCCTTTCTGGAGGATATCCAGTCATTCAGACCTCTTGGCTCTCCATCAAGCACTGGAACTAGAGTATTTGTAACTGTGTTCTAAAGTTGGCGCTCCGTTTTTATATATATATATATTTCAAGTACACTGAATTTTTATGTGTGATTCAATGCCTCTGGCTTTACACATATGAATTGTCTTAAGAAGGGAAGAAATATTTGGAATTCAAAATTCCAAATTGAAGAATTCAGATTACTGAATGGAGTTGAAACGTTAGTGCTACGTAAGGAAGCTCTATGGTCTTATATATGCAACGTTTTTAAATGAATTAGAACTGTGGAGGTTGCTGGTACATACCAAGTGAGCCCTGACAGGAGAGAGCAAAGGACTCGAACTGACAAAGCACCAACATGCGTTTTCCAACCGACATTCCTCAAAGTGGGATATATTCTCAGCACTGAGGTTTGAACCAGACTTTAGCCTACCTAACCCAGCAAATCTGAATTGGAATGCACTCAGACTGTATAATGACAATCCTKTCTAGTCCTGTAATTTGTGTAAATTATTGATGAAAATAATTTACTGTGACTTTATTAGCAGCTGATTTTGGAAGTGGATGCAATTTTTCTTTCATTTTTTGGGGGGGAGGGGAGGGAGAGGGTTATTATAATATTGTCTCTTTTATAAGTTTGGCAAACAGAATGTGCATAATGATGTGTTGTGCCTTAAAGAGAAGACTGTGTTTGTGTGTTATAATGTAATTTTGGTTAAAAACTATGTAGATAAACAAAACAAAAAAATCTTTGTGATAGTTTTTGACATGACCAAATTTCAAATTCAGAGTAATCAAATAGCAGGGCTGCACCAAGACATTTAAGTATTTGTTGCAGTAAGAAAAAAAAATAATAAAGGAAAGTTTGTGTTTTTATTTGGATTCTGAATAATTCCACTGATTTTTTGAGGCAAGTTAAGAGGATATTGGAAGATTGATACTGGGGACCGTTACCTTGAAACCTGACAGCTGTTTAACACCTTGAACATCATGTCTTGATTCCCCATTGAGAGAACGAAGAGCCATATTCATAAAATGCTTAGTCCACTGAAAGCCATACAGTGAGTACATCTGCTATAAGTGAAAGAAGAAATTCTCACCTAGCAGACAGGTGTTTGGAGAGTGCTGGCAGCATTACTGGAAGGTGAAAATGTAATGATAATAAGTTACGTAGGAAAGAAAAAACAGTCTTTTATTTTGTAAATATAACAGTGTTTTGATAGTTTTTCCAAAAAAGTATTTCTGGACTTGGAAATTTAAATAGCTGCTCATGCATATGAGGAAGGGGAAAAAAAAAAAAAAAAAAAAAAAGAAGGTTTTATGGGTACTGAGAAATACATTCCCTTAATTTCAGCCATTTCTAATCATAATTATGGATCACACAATGCTAATTATCCTCTAAAGTTTTAACCTGCTACCGTTCAGCTTTGGAACGTGAACAAGCTATGGATTGTGCCTAGGGTCCCCAGCACTTTACACTCCATTGTGAAACAGCAGTGTGGAAAAACTACGAGTGGTGCATCTTTCACTGCTGAGGGTGGAAATTGCTTTTTTAATGCTGTAGGTGGAGACAGCTGAGATTCTTTCTGTTTTCTCTGACTGTGAAGAGGTATAACCAAGAGAAGAYGGGAAATGTAACCTCCACAGTCCCRAGACAGGCATGGTCATGGGCAGCACCAGAGAGAAATTTCCTCTCAGTGCTGAGAAGTTATCACATTTCTAGCAAATTTAATCTCTGTTTGAACTCTAGATTAGGGTCAAAGTTAGTTGGTAGTGAGAGCCTGGAGCTACTGAAAATCCAAGGCAAAACTCCCTTATAACTTAGTAAAAATTGGATTTCTCTGCTGTATGGGAATTGGATATCCAAATCACCACACAGCTACCTAACAGATGATTTGTTTTTACTGAGCCATATTTGACTGTCACACAAAACTTGCCTCATACAAAATCATGATACACCAGCCACTTGGGTGAGAGATTTGTGTATTCAACAAGTAAAAGTGCTGTGTACCTTTTCTGTATTTACAGTACCTGCCTAGACAAATTTGACATGATTATATTTTCCATAAAAGGCCATTGTACAAGCTTTGTATAATATTTTAGATGGGAAATAAGTGTTTCTACTGTAATTGGGAATAAAAAAAAAAAAAAAAAAAAAAAGGTTAAACAAAGCCCTCCTCAAGTTCTGACATGTAACATTGCATGAGACTTTTAACATAGAAGTTGTTATAAAACAAAATGTTGTGGAGAACTAGCTTATTTTTCTTTTTTCTTTTTTAAACAAGTGATAGTGTTATTGAAATGCATGAAGCAATATTATTTCTCAGTTAGTTTTTCAGCTTTTCAGAATTCTTTTCCAAGTCAGATCTAAGAACAAACAACAACCTAGCACCATTTTTTTATAAAATGTTTGCGGTGCCTTCATTGGAGTTGTGCCTAACTCTCTCTGTGGCATGTATGGCTCAGTTAATAATGTACTGGACTTCCAGAGAGGGGATGGAGGCAAAAAAGGAGGGAAGCTTTGCACAGCACAACAAAGTTCTGATTTTAATTTGGATTTTAGGTACTACCGTAGTAAAAGTTAATTATAGTAGTAATTATAGTAATAATCCACAGAAATTTACATCAAAGGAAAATTGAAGGATTTAGCTCTAAGACTTTTGCAATAAGAAAGTTCTAAAAGTTGCAGAGCAAGAATATTCTCTTGCTAAATAAAAAATGCTATATATCTTTTAGTAGTACTTGATAATACATGTCTGCCTCAGAGAGAGAAATAATACTGGTAAATTTTCCTGAATGAAAAATACAGAAATTTCAATACAGAAAATAACCAAGGGCAGACATACAGTCAAATCAAGACAGTTCCAGAGGAGCCTAGTTAGATTAAACTGAAGGTTGGTCACGTTGACATTGAATGCATTTTCATTCAATAGTATATTAATCAGACACTGCCTTCCCTTCAGCCTCTCCTCAACAAACATGACTGAGCACAATGTTGTGTTTGCAAAAAAACTTTGTGTAAATGAGGTATACAATATAATGCCTTTTGCTGACACTGTAGCAGTTTTCAGTCAGTACAGTACTTACCTACTAGGCATTTGAATAGTGAGCTTGCAGAATACAGAGTGATCGCAGTCACAGAGTAGTATTTTACGTAAATATGAGATAATGCCATGCAGTTTGGTATACCAGTTYTGCTTTTGGAAAAGCAAAAACTAAAAATGACACTTCTTTTTAGGCACTTATGCGGGCAGCTAGCTCCCAGAACCATTTCATTAGCACCTAGCATGAGCAGATGGGTTTGCATCTGAAGCAGATGCAGAGTGGTTTGCAGGGTAAGCTTCACAGCGGAGGTGAGGCCAAATCCAAATCCTGYTGTACAAGCACACCTCATCCTGGCTCACCTGAAATCCTGAAGACAAGAAGAATGGCAGAGGATKGGGAGAATATGGATTTGGCCCATGATAGGAAGATTGTAGTTTTGCACTGTGACGTTGGATCCARATTCAGGGTTTTGGTTCAGAAGTCATCTCTACAGCATTGATAGGAAGCATATGCTTTAAATGAATATGGTATTTAGTATCTCTAAATAGGAATTGAAGTGACATGAGCCAAAAGCCCAGCAATAGCAGCATTTTGAAAATAAAATTGAAGCCAAGGGTCTCTGTCATGTATTAGCAAATTATAGATTACTGAGGCCTAMATAATTTAAGAAAATGTAAATTAAAATTAAAGCTTGTAAAAATATGTACATCTTTACTATTTCTCAATAAACACACTTGGAAATGTCATTTTTCTGCACTATACCATGTTGTAAGATGTTTGGTTTGTGGTTGAAACCCTTAGTACACATCATTATGGGGCCTGGGCAAGACCTTGGGCTCCTTGTAAGTGTTCCTGATCCCTGCCAGGGGCAACCCTGTGTCCTTGAGATTTGGTACAGACTAGCTCATGTGTGCATTGGTAGAGCCTAACCTCCAGAGGGAACTACCCTCTGGCCTGCAACAAGTTTTCCTTATTTGAGGGATATAGTTGGTTTGCTCCACATTGCAGCCTGCAGTGGTTCTCGAGGCGAAATACTGAACAAACCAATTAATGATCTAGACACACTTTTCATAGCAATATTATTTTACATTCCCTATTGATTCACTTGCTAATATACTACTGTCCATCTCATAGATGAACACCTCAAAACGTGCATTGTTCAGAGACAGAAAAAGATACTAAAGAACAAGCAGCAATTTTGGTCAAAGCTCAGTGTTCAGAAACTTTCCAGTCTGTAAGTGGATTTGGATCTCAGCTTGAAGGCATCAGTCCCTCTACAGTTTGTTTGATTGGGTTTTAAGGCAGTCACTTCACCAACAGGGCCACAAGACTGCCAGCACACTAACATGTAACATTATAGTCTTAGAAAAWTTCACTGCAAGTGGCAGAGGCTTGGTCATCACAGCTCTGAAACTACAAGAGACAGCTTATAAGTTCAATGTTTTTTTTCCCCAAGAGTTCACTTAAAGCATGTCTTTTACAAAGGTAAGTATTCTCAGTGTAAAGGCAACAAAGTAATGAGTAAACTGTTTTCTCTGATAAACAATTCAGATATATTAATAGCTGTTCTCTCTCAGTGCCTATTATATATGGTWAATTATATGAGCCATCCGCAACATCATGTAGAGGAATATGGTTGGCTGGGCAGTGTGCAGTATTTTAARCAATACTAAAAGTACATATTGATAATCAAAAACTTTTACAAAATTGTACATCAAGTAGTTTCAATGTGGTGCCTCTCAGATGTGCTTCCATGTGGCTRGAATAAAGAAGAAGAAAAAGCAATTTTCAGCTTAATTTGATAAAAGTGAGACAAAAGAGAGAAAGAAAATGCTTTTCCTCTTTCACTAAGATGGTGGTGCTTTGAGAAAGTTTCCATTTTCAACATCAAGATAAAGAGAGATTTGGGATGTTACATTAAAAGCCTTTGTCCAGGTTATAGCACAGCATTAGCCTCATATCTTATTGCTGAGCCAGAGAAATTCAGAGATCTACATCACTATCACACAGGCCAGGCACATTAAAATTCTCAGCACTTAACTACAATAAAAACGCTATACTGATAGCAATTACAAGTGCAGAAATAACTCTTC